AATAAATAAAAAATAATAATATTTCATTCTCTTTATCCTGCATTATTTATCAGTTAACAATATTAGATATCAAAATAAAGCAACGAAATAATCAATATTATCATTGTAGTTAACTTAAATTAACGTTAAACTTTAATATATGATTTTGAGAAATAATTAAGTGACACCTAGTATCGGACACAGTAAGACTTATTAACGTACTCAGAGAACAGTTTTAATATAATTTACAGCGATCACAAATATAATTTAATTGTCAGAACATTCGGGGATATCGGCACCAGCCTCATGTGCCCATTTTTGGCAGCAAGTGCTTCTTGCAAAGCCATATTTTGAAGATACCGCTCTTTTAGGTGAATTTCTTTTGTCAGAATTTTCTGAAATGCAGTTTTTAAATTATTTTCATCTCACGAAACTTTTTTTTTTACTATTTATATTGCTTAAGTGCAACTGGAATCAAAATAACGAATACTAATACAAATAGGAACATACAAGATTAAGATTTGTACTGTATAGATTGTCCGGCAATAGGGGAAAACGTTTTATCCGGAACCAGGGGACAGTAAACCTATTAAAAAAAATTTTTTTGTGAAAATCAATGCACTGTATGCACAAAATACAAAGGTAATTCAAAAAATACTTACCAAAAGATATAATAATGCAACTCACACGTCTTTTGACCACGCAAATTGGTAGATATAATAATTTATAATCTATACTATACGATGCACCATGTTTCCCATCATACGCAACAATCAATCGATCTCCTTATGCTGTGCACACGCGACTGGAACGTGTAAAAACTTGATCATTGTTTGATCTATCTCCTCCACGGTTTACGCGGAAAAACGGCTTAGTAGCGATTCAACTATTGCAGATATAGCTAATGTCCGATATTAGGTGCTGTCCGTGGTTAAGGAACTCCCCCTATTATATTAATTACTATCATAGGATTAAAAAAATAATTAACTGTTATTAACCCTTTATTTATTTAATACAGATAAAACGTTTTTTGACAAACTGATGGAAAAATTTCGTAAAAATAATTTTACGGAAAAGTTAATTCGCGATAATATTATCACGCTCATTGTATCGGTACGTTATATATATCTCTAGACATAAATATCCCTGTTAAAAAAAATCGATAAGGAAACGATATAGGAATCGATAGATCTGCCAAATATTTTATGGTATCTTATCGTATTTATCGTTCTATTTAGGTTATCGTTCCCTATAGTTTTCTATCATTATCTAATAAAAACAATTTTAATCGTTAATAAAATATTGATAAAATTCTATCTTTTTTTACAAGGCCAGTGATACAATCGGTACTACGTTACACTTTGTTCTCTTTATGATAGCAAATTTTCCAGACATACAAGTAAGTATATAAAATTTCTAACACAATCAAATATATGTACTTTTTAAATAAACAAAGCATTAAAAATGACATAATTTTAAAATACAAGAATTGTTTTAAGTATTAATAAAAGAAATATTTTTCTTTAATTACGTTACATTACTTGTATTGTGATAATTTTTAAAATTTTTTAAATTAAGCTATTATGTTAATAGTTTATTGTGCATGTAAAACGTGAATTTTATTCGTATAAATATTTCCCAAAGTATTTAAATTTACAATCAATTGGTTGAAAACAGAACTGAATACAAAACTTATTATTATAGATTTTTTACTTTCGTATTCGGCTATTTTCAACCAATTTATCATCATCATTTCTAAAAAAGGCATGTTAAATCGATAGTCAAATCTTTCAAAATTTCGAAAGTCTTGAAATTTATTGTTGGCTCTTTTCCGACGCTGATTAGTTCTCGCTGTGCTTACTTCGTGAGCGGCTGTTATTGCATATTTTGATAGTTGCGTGCATTGAGATTGATGTGTAATTGTAAATAAGTAATAGTAAATAGTAAAAAGTGCAGCTAAATATAGCGCGCGCGAAGCGCGCGTCTAGTTCTATTGTAAATTTAAATATTCTGGAAGACATTTATTATATATATACATATATTGTATGTACATATGTATATGTATATATATATATATGTATATATATATATATATATATATATACATATATATACATACACAGAGTGTCCCCGTATAAGTGATCACTCCTTTTTATCTTGTAAACTAATAGAGATAGACATAATAAATATAATATCAAATTAAGCGGCTCTGATTAAACTTTATTGTAAACACAGTCATCACTTAGAAATATTATCTATGTTAGACAGCGGAAAAACATGATTAATTTTTGCACGATAACGTGACAATTTTAATATGATAAAAGTTGTAGCGTTTCTTTTAACAAATACAACGATGTATGATATAGATCGGAAGAGCACA